ACAGTTTTCGAAATATCGTACGATGAATACATTAAAAATACGTTAAGAGGCTTCATAAGATTGAAGTATTATGATTGCAAACAATCCTTCTCACGAGTGGCTGAACGTGTGCGTGCGTGCGTGCGTGCGTGCGCACGCGTTCAGCCACTCGTGAGAAGGATTGTTTGCAATCATAATACTTCAATCTTATGAAGCCTCTTAACGTATTTTTAATGTATTCATCGTACGATATTTCGAAAACTGTCCATTTTCTGACTTTATGCCCATGGACACTTTTGATCAGGATGTCATAAAGTAAAACGTACCAAAATTTCAGCCGATTTGACCGGGAACCAAAACCCACTGGTTTTGTGCGGGGTTCTTTGGTATGAGGCAGTTTGAATAGTGTTACTTCCTGGCCATATACTTCACAGTTTATTGTGGTATCATCTCGCGAAAATTTACCACTTATCGAATAACCCACGTATATAATTTTTCCGAACTTTTACTTATGGTTATTATAACATTATTTTATAGTAGAACTTACTACACATTTACCATACTGCATAGTGAAATTATGATTACTTCAACTATATTCATTTTTCAAAATTGAACTATTTTTTATAATTGGAAAAACCATTAAATTCACTTTATATTAACCATAATGCATAGTGAAATTATGATTACTTCTACTATATTCATTTTTCAATATTGAACCATTTTTTATAATTGGACTAACCATTAAATTCACTGTATATTTACCACGATGCATAGTAAAATTATAATTACTTCAACTATGTTCATTTCTCAGTATTTAACCATTTTTTATAATTGGACAAACCATACACATAGTAATAAATAAAAACCATAAACAGTAAAACCATAGTAACAGTTTGGTAAAAGTAACTATGTGTAAAACGCGGACTATTACTATAAATAATTTTTTTTTATTACTATCGTATGTAGTAGTTCGAACTTTCACTTATGGTTATTTTTACATTATTTTATAGTAGAACTTATCCTATCAAAATTTCGTTTTGATGATATAATAACTATAATAGTGGTTGCA